GTAGAGGTGGAAGAGGAAAGCCCAGATGAACCTAGTTCACTAGTTAGACGGTCTTAGAAAAAGAAGCAGCCTGCTTCAATAGAGAAGGGATCAACCTCTAGCTCCAAGTTGAAGGAGGTGGTGAGTGAGTTCTCAATGTCTGATGAGGATGTGTTAGTCAAGTCTAAGGGAAAAGGGAAATTAAGTGGTGAGAAGTCCGGAAAATGAAAGTCTGAAATTGTTCAGGAACCTAGTTCTGTGAAGAGGATAAGAAGTGAAGTAAGCCTTGGCTTAGAATGCCTGGGGCACCAAAAAGTTCTGTTAGGTCGTACTTTTGACCCAGCAATCTCTGAGATGGCTGGTATGCGACAAATTCTTGAAATGGTCGAATTTTAATGATGGGCGCATCTATTCCAAATGGATGCACCTAAGGTATATGAGGATGAGGTACAAATCTTCTTTGCTAGCCTCTTTCCCATTGAGACAGACCACATCTGTGCTTTGGTGAATGGAGTGGACATCGCGTTCGATGTATAGTTGCTTGGAGAGATTCTTAAAGTTCCTGTAGCTGGTGTGTCCAGTGTAAAAGATGTGTGTCAGTTTAACTTCAGAAATACCGTGGTAAAAGACATGCAAACCAGAAGGGGGACCAGATCCATAAGAAAGTGCTACTCCCTATCTATCAACTGTTGTCCGAATTGGTAAACAAAGTTCTATTGCCTCGAGCTGGGAGGAGGTCAGTAACTTCTAAGTCTGACCTATTCTTGATGGAGCAACTGGATAGCTTTACTCCTGTGAGTCTGCCTCTATTATGATTGACACGTGCAAAAGGTTGCCACCTTCAAAGATAGTAATCATGTCCTTCCCTACGGGTTCTTGCTTACGCGAGTGTTTAAATTCTTTGAAGTGCCACTAGGGCCAGGCAAGGTGGGGACTAAGAAGCAGACTTTCTTATAGACAACTTTGGAAGAATACGAGCGCATAGAAAAGAATGGGAAGTATGAATTACATCAACCGTATCACAACTTATTAATGCTCAGAATAGTGCAGATGGGGAAATTCGTCGGTTGAAGGTCAGGAATGCTATCCTGGAAGGTCAGCAAGACTAAGGAGTTCCGGTATCAAATGATGAAGTAGCTCGTTTGACAAAGGAGAATGTTGATCTCAGGGTGCAAGTAGAGAACCTGAAATCAGAACTGTTCAATGAGCAAAAATTGGCCAATGCCCGAATAGACCTTGTTCTCCAAACACTTGCTGCAGCTTCTAAGCCCTTTACTCCTAGTGCCCCCTAAGTACCCCTTCAGTGACCAGTTTCTGGAAATGTTTTTATTTTTGCTTTTCTTGTTTGGCAGATGTTTTGTTTTCTTTTTTTGATGTGGTTGGGATGAAACAGTGTTGCTCCCGCCTTAACAGTCCAATGTTGCATTTACTTTTTAAGCAAAGGCATATAAATTTTTTATCAATATCAAATCTATCCTCTTTTATTATCTCAATACTTAACTTCTATGTTTCTCTTCTCTATCATGTTGTGTGCACATATGTGGCATGAGTTAGCTCAGCTATACTTCTTTATGTTGTTTATCTGATTGTGCCTTTTTAATGATGCCAAAAGGGGGAATAATCAACAAGTGTAGTAGTTAAAAATGAGAAATAAGGAAGGCATAAAGTCAGGGGGTACTAATTGTGAAACTTATGTTCTCCTGTTACTCAATCTAGTTCTCACTGCTCTAAATCCACTTTATCAATGTTAAGTTTGTCATCATCAAAATGGGGGAAATTGATAGGTTTTAAATGTCCTTGCCTTATGTTTTGATGATCTAACAAACTTATTGTTAAGAACCAGATAAGGAAACTGACCTACTTGGACTATACTGCAAGCTTAACGGATTCCAACTAAATGTGAACTGCTACAACTTCAGGAGCTAGGAAACCAAACAAGGACCTGATACCCTTGTGGTTCCCTCATAGCAGTACAAAGTCAACTGGATATATCTGAAAACGAAGTGACCGCCTGCACTGTTCTGCCGCACTGCACTATTTCCAGTGCCCACTTATTCCTTGACCAACTAAAGTGATCACATCATTTCAAGTGATGTAATCAAGGTGTACCAACAATGAGTTTATATTGAAACATCACTTGAATATTTCATTTTCTCATTCAAGCCTTTTGCAAAAACAGAGAAATCAATTCTCACGAGCTTGAAGAACAAAGTTGAACGCTACTACGGACCAGTTCCTAAAGTCAGTATTTTGTTGTCCTTAGTTGAGTTGTAACTTTGTTATTATACTTATTGTATTTCCTAAATTGCTTAGCTAGAAGCGTTGATTAGGAATCTTCTTGTAAAATCCGTAAACTCGTTGAGTTTATGTTGTGACTAGGTTTAGTCATAAGCAAAAGCCTTTATAACTGTAGAGCGACAAAGTGGCTTGTGGTGAGAGCATCACTAGTTAGTGAAAATCTTTGTAACTAGGGAGTCACAAAGTGGCTTGCAGTAAGAGTACCACAAGTTAGTTGAGTTGAATACTTTGTAATGGAGTCATTACAAAGTGGCTTGTAATAGGTTTTTACAAGTTAGTGAAATTGAAAGCCTACATGTGTAGGTCGTGGTTTTTGGCCCCCTCGTGTGAGATTTTTTCATGTAAAAATCCCTTGTCTCATTTACTTACAGTTTATTAGCATTCTCAGCAGAATCTCATAGAGGACCAGATACTCTACTGTTTGGTGGACTCACACAAACTAACAGCTTTTTAACAAACTTCTTGGAATCCAGGCCCTTCAAGATTAATGGTGCTCCTAGGATTTGGTCGACCCTGGAGTTGTAGGTTTCCACCTTTTTGTCATTGACTTCGATTTTTTTTTCTCGATTCCACCCATTTTGTTAGTTCCTCGAGCATCTTTATGATCTCGGGGTTGGTCCCGTGTTCAACTTCACTCGGCCTCTTTGTGATTTGCTCATTTCTACGAGTGTTTTCCTAGGACGGTTCGGGCTCAACTCTGCTGCGGGAGTGGCTTTGGTTGTGTAGCTGGGCTATCGCTGCCTATTGAGCATGTATCATTGCGAAGATCACCCGCAAGTTGATCCCATCGCCCTTACTACCATGCATATCCCTGGCAACCGACCTGACTTCCCCGTGAACGCTGACCTCCGGGTTGGTGGGCAAGTTAGTGTCGATGGGCACGTGGGAGCTGACATCGATTGGGTCTACGAACGGGAACCTATTGGGGTCAATAAGGTTAACCTCGTTGTTGGGCGCTATATTGTTGTTTTCGCCGTGGTGGCCGTACTCAGCATCAACGTCCAGAGAGGCAGATTGGGAGTTTGACATTTTGACCTTTGACCTGAAATTAAAGACACTTTAAAGAACAAGTGTAAAATAGGGTGTGTTATGGAAATTTGTATCAAATTACCACTATTATCCTTAGCCTCACGGTGAGCGCCAAACTGTTTACCCTAAAAAATGGATAAAAATTAAATTTATAAGTGGTTTTAAGGATACATGGATTAACTCAATACAAACTGCAAATATCGCTAGATTAAACAGGTAAAAGATGTAATAAATTATCAAACCACTTAAGGTGGATGATTCCTGATTTAACAACAACCTTACTGGAATATCCGCCTCGATCCTAGACTTATAATAATGAAACTCTGATCAACAAATGTAAGAACCTTGAATAACAGAGAAAAATAATAGTATATTACCTTGATATGCGTGTTGCAGTATCTATAATGAATAATCAGACCCTCATTTATATAGTAGGGGAGTTTTACCCTAAGTTTAACTAATCGCCCGCCGGTACGTGCTGAGATCCGCGCCGAGATACCCGGCAGGTCACGGATATCACAGTCTTCCGTCATTCGTGCTCGGTTGCCCGATGGCGTTCTCCGAAGTCTTTTGAGGTTTGGACCGATCCGAGGTCATGGCCTCAGTATTCCCGAGGGTGGGTGTTATGCCCCCCGGACCCTGGCTCGATGAGGCCCTTGCCTCGATTCCGGTTCCTTGTCATCACGTCTCTTGCTCGATTTACCTCATTGGAAATCGGGGCGTCGCATTGGTCCAGTTTCACCCGTATACAAACCTGTTCACATAAAATGAGACTAATAAGTATTGCATTAAAGTTCAAATAAATTAACAGAAGTCTTCGATAGGTTAAACTTTACAATTTGTTTGGATGGTTGTTACATATTGTATTGTATCGTATCGTATCGTATTGTTACTTTAAGTACAATATTTGTTTTGATTATTAATCAAATTTTATTGTATCGTCCGTTAGATCTGTCGTTACGTAATGACAAAAAGTGCCACGTTATATAACGATTGATTTGGTGTGGTGGCGGCGGCGTTATCTTGTTTTTTCCTCTCATCTTGCCCTTTTTATTATAAAATAATCATATTTTATCATTTGTCCTACTTTGTTTGTTATATAATAATTTTACTTTGTATCCTATCTTTTCTTAGTAATGTTGATTATTATTCATATTGTTGGTGTATGACATCATGAAACGACGATAAATAATACAAGCTATCCAAAAATTATATTCATCATACAATACAGTATAATACAATACGATGTATTATGAAACAACAAGTAACAACCATCCAAACAAGCTGTTAGACAACATGCAGTATCCATTTTTTGACCATTGACATCCACAATAGAGTAAGATACTGAGAAACAAAAGAAATAAGTTTTTGAGTGTAGCAAGAAGCCAAAAAATTTCCCTCTTGCTGTAACAGGGGAGATGTGGTATCGTGTCCAAAAAAACAATCTTCAAGATCAAAAGACTGCAATGGCTCGTTTTTCACCATACTGTGGCATTCAATTCGCTTCATTCCCCACTGTTTCTTTCTGCAACTCAACATCAAACAGCATTTACTCTCTCATTTACTGCTCCCCAATACTCACTGCACTCGAAATACAGTGACACCCACATGCTCTTCTTCATGCCTCAATAAAAAATAAAAAAACCGTTTCTTTATTCAAATACTTCTCTTTCTATCTATTTTCCATTTTCTTTTTCTTAGTATTATTACGATAGTAATTTATTTTATACATGTACATATAGAGAGTGCAACATGGGCTAGAATGCTTTCCTAATTCTTCTTATCTCCACGGATTTTCTGGTCCATTGTTGGCTTTCAGAATCCGAAAATAAGGTGACAAAACGCGGCTTTCGAACAAACTTTTCAAATAATGGGCTGAATATTCAAATTGTGTTTATTGAAAGGGTGTGAAGCAAAACTCAGATCACTCTTATTTTCTCAGTTGGTGAGCTCTTTTTGTGTACTCGCATTATGAAGGCTTTTGTTGGGTTCTCTGTTTTGTTCTTGACAATGGTGACTGCTTTGGTTTGCTTTGTTTCCTATGGCAAAGAAGACACCTCATCGCCTCCTGGTAAAAATACTTTCATTTTAGCCTAAGATCTGCCATATTTATGTGCCATTAACTCGTTTATTTGACTTATTTTTGAGCTTAGGTTCTTAATATGCTTTGCTAAATTGCCTGTTGAGTCTGTCGCTCTGTTGATATCAAGTGTTAATGGAAGAGACTTTGCAAGCCTTAATGACTTGATCTATAGCATAGCTTTTTATCTTTTTTTTCCTCCATATTTAGCAAATATGTACGAGCGGAAAAATATATATTTGAGTCAAGCGTCTATCGGAAACAGCTTCTCTAACTCACATAAGGTAGGGTAAGTCCTCTATATGCCTCACCCTCCCTAAACTCTACTTGTGAAATCATATCGGGTATGTTATCGTTGTTTTATATTATCTCATTTTTTGTTAGACTCAAATTGAATAAGAATAGGGGTAAAGGATCACCCACAAAGTTTAGGTATCTATATATATAATTTTTCGGGACAAGTTTGAGGGGCAAAATATGTATTTTTCCAATTTAAAATTGTTACTACTAAATTCATTTTTCGAGACTATATGGGGTCTAACCTATTGAAAGATTAGAAGTTGAGTGACTAACGTCACATATTCTTAATCACTCTTTCTAGCTAGCTGTTTTCTGCCTTAGGAACTAAAAAAAACGACTTTAAAGTCTTGTGCATTTACAATGTACAAAAGTGTATTTATAGTGTAAATTTACTGCTTACTATAATAGAATAAATTGTACTGACAAATAAAAGGCGACCTATGTTTTGAGCAGAGGGGTCACTGGATCACATTAACCTAAAATTTCTAGATATATATATTGGAAACGGTCATATATTTTCCTTGAAACCTCTAAGATCAAAAGTCGGATGGGCGCATTGGTTGAGCAATCCGCTCATGTATCCCCGCTACTTTCAAATCCTGGGTTCGCCTTTGTGACAAAGTGGCAGTATAATTTTTTTACAGTATCATCACTGTATATATGTTAAATGTATTATAAGAACCACACTTACTACTTACTATTATTGAATAGATTATACTGGTATAGTGCCAATATAATTTTTTTTTACTCTATCATAGTATACAATCCAAAATGGGGTTGTGGAGAGTAATACAAGCGTAAATGTTGCACCTTAGATGCCAGAAGTTCAATAGTTGAAAGCATCACTAGTTTAACTCTGAGTAGCATAGGGCATAGGTGAGTAAGCACCATGTTGCAAGGTTAAATATTCTTGGGTGACCAATAGCGAAATAGTACCAGGAAGGAAAAGTAATTTGCAGCATAATTACAAATATATATACTTCCTTATGCCGTTCTTTGTTGCTGTTTTGTATCATGATATAGTAGAGCACAAAGATCACGTGCTTCTTTGATTTGTTTTCAGGTGAAAGTTGAAATGTTTAAAATACAGTTTCAAATATTTACTGACGATAATTAACATACCGTGAATCTTATTGGTGTGCAATTTTCGTTTTTTTTTTCCCTGCTAGAAGAGTATAACTCTCTTTATATTGCTATATATACTGAGGCTACTAACTCTGGATTTAAGCTGACATTTGTATTCATACAAAGGGTGTTGATTTAGCCTTCTTATATATATAATTGAACCACAGGAATGTCCTCAACTTGGCAAGAGAATAATGAATTGGCAATAACCATAAGAAGCAGAAAGCTACAGGTAATTGCACTTCTGCTGGCCTTTTCTTTTGCTCATCACTGTTCTTTTATTGTGCTAAAATTCCTTAAGGACAGAGAACCTCTCTATCAAAAGGCGGTTTATCAATCCCACAAACCTATACAATTTTTAATAACACAGATATTGGTGTTAAATTTACTCTTTAGCTTGTTAAATTGTACCTTCCTGTATTTCTTGTTAGATAGTCCGTGATATACATATAAAACGTTTAGATTGTCTTACATGGGAAGGCAAAAATGAGTAAATTAAATGACATGAATTAGGTTATGAAATTAAGATGACCATTCTGAATAATAGTCTTCTTTCTTTACAGTATACAGAAGGGTTATGTAGTATCGATTGTTCACGGTTCAAAACCTAATGTCCTTTTATTTTTCCAATTTGCAGGGCAATGACTATGGACCGAGCACGAGCACGAGCACAGACGAGGGCGGTGTGGGGAAGATAAATCTGGAGGATTACCGACCGATAGATCCAGTTCCAAGCTCAAAAGCTTCAGTAAGACCTGGACCTATTCAACATGGAACTCCTCTTATGCCTTATATTCCAAAGCAGCCTCCTCCACCAACTCGCTCGAAACCTGTTGGATTTCCATAATTAGCTTATTATTCTTATTATCTCAGGAGTCAGTCAGGACCATTCCCACGAAATGGCTCTTCTATAAGTTAGAACAATAATGTAGTACATTAATAACTTCGAAAAAACCCATGTCTTTTTAATATTTGCCTACTTCTCTTGTAAATTTCAATGGAGCTTTGTGTATTACAGCTTCGTACTTGTAATATGCCTCTGACTTGTCCTGAAGAACTTGCATGAGTTAATTAATGACAATAATCTTGAGTACCAGTAGTGATAGAGCAAAAATCGGGTGAAGGACAATGGAAGGAACAATAAATCATACTTTGTATTTATTTATAAGTAATTTAAGATAGTGTTAAGTTTATAACTTCTTACATATTTCTTTTTATGTGAAAGTTTATTCTATCATTTGTTTTTGTGTTTTTACCACAAATAATGTTATTATGGTTTGTAATTTGGATATTAGGAAATTGATATATTTTGTTATTTTAATCAACTTTTCCCTCCATGACTTTTTAAAAAAAATATATATATATAGAACTAACACCCCCCCCCCCCCCCCCAAAAAAAAAACCACACTTTTGGACAAATATTTTTGTTTATAAATGATCTTTTGATTTTCTTTAAACTCTCTCGATGTTTGTATATTGACAAACAATTTTCTTAAAATGTATTGATTGATGATCGAGGACAGTAGCTATTACATCCCTTTAGTGAGATTGCTATATGGAATCCATATTTCTTAGTAATTTTTTAGGAACTTAAACTTTTTATTTTTATTTTTATTTTTTTATAAATCAAACATAGTATTTATATAATTTTTTTATTCATTTAGATAAGCTACACGTGCAATGCGCATATTATAAAACTAGTTATGTTAAAAGCACAAAGTTTCTTAGTGAAATATTATTCATCTTTTTTATCATTGTTACACCTCATGTTTTCGTACGTAAGAGTACGCCGTAAGTCAATTGATGTAAGCTCAAAAATGAAATCATCTTTGAAAAGCTTACAAAGTAAGTTAATCATGTTACCACGAAAGTTACAAATATTTAAGATCATAAATACCAAGTACCAAGAGGGTTGGAAGGCTTAGAAGCTAAACGAATTGAAGAAAATAAGTTTCGTCGAAAGTCGACAAGTTGAAATGTTATAACATGTACTTTTGGGTTGAGACTAGAGTGCTTAACATTTTAAGGAGGTTATGTTAAGAGTTATTTTAGTCGTATGATAATCGTGTGTTATGCTTTGAAGACAAGCAAGTTGTGGAACAAAATTGGCAAAGGTCATCACAAGTTACATTCATAAATATGCTTAAAATTAGGTCAAATGTAGCTGAGTTTTTTTATAAATATACTTGAAATTACGGGGTGATCTACCTACCAAATTTGAAGGTCTACGAGTCTAGTTTCTAACGCATTTAACCGTTCATCGATACAACATCGGAGTAGAGAGATATTCGCATTTTTGTAAGACTGCACAAGTAGCTTCCATGGGACCCACAAAGTCGGTGTAAAACCCCAGCTTGTATTTAAGTCAATTCTAAATCGTTTTAACTCATTTTTCTCGTCCAAAACAGCCCTAAACCCTCCTAAATGCTCCATAATTCTAGGGTGAAAACCGAAGATAAAAATATGAATTCAACGCTAGAAACTCCGTGATGCTTGCTAGATCGTAGTTCTTCAGCTTGTGGTTGTTTTGGAGGGTTCTTCAAAGTAAAGTAACCTCAGGTTTTGTGTTGTTGTTGTTGATTAAGGTAATAATCAGTCCTTCCTTTATATATATTAGATTTTCAAGGCGAACTACAAGTGTTCACACACCACTTGAACACCAAAAGTTGATTTAAGAAGTGAGACTTATAGTGTTGTGGTGTCATTGAGGATTATTGTGGGTTGTGCTTGGCATAAATTTCGTGTTGTTTCTACTGGTTAAGGTGAGTATAATATCCTACTACATGTGATTGAATTTGTTTGTGTATTGGTTGCATTATTTGAGCCAAATTCTACAAGAGGAGACTTGAAATAGTTGAGATGTTATTCTTTTTAATGGACTATTTTGGAAAGGTTGTTTCCATGAACTTTAAATGGTCGGAATCCTTTGAAAATAACTTTCTTATGATGTTGTTATTATAAAATATTATTTACATGTCGAACTTGTTGTTGGTACTGTGAATATGAAGGGAAAGGAGAACATAACAATGGAAAGTTGTACTTGTTGTTGTTAGATTGTTGGGTTGTTTGAGGGTGAATTAGGAGATGAATAGAAGGTTAGAAGGCATCCCATTGTACTTAATATCATGCTGGCTATGTTGTTAAGTTAATGAATGAATGAATAACTTTGGGGTTAAATGGTTCAACAGAAATTCAATCCGAGCTTGTAGTTTATCGTGTTAAATAGTAGTTTCGTTGGTGATGTTTATACACTTGTTGTTGTGTAGCTTGATTTGTGTTGTGGTGCTGAAAGTATATAGGCGAAGGTTGTATTGTTTCGAGTTGGTTGATGGACTTGAAAAGGCAAGGAAAATAGGGGAGACGATGTCCGTTTTAATATAAAATAAGTTTGTCGTTCGTTGTACGTTAGTTGCATATTTCATAGCTTAATGATAGTTGTAGATTGAAGTCAACAATAGATCAAACACAAAGTTTAAAAACTTCTAAAGTCACTAATTTTATTAAGGATATTGGTCTCACTAAAAAAGTAATTAAGAAACTAAAAATAAGAAAGGAGGACCACACACCTTGTCAGGAACTCGACTTTTGAAATTTTGGGAAGTATAAAAGTACAAATTGACAAAGAGAATAAAGGTCAAAATGTGGGACAACCCTAAAATCAAAGATTAAAAATCAAGTTTTTGTATAAATTGTTAGCACAAATATGTGAAATATAAGAGGGAAACAATGACAAAAAAGAACAGAAAAGAAGAAGAAATAATATAACTGAGGTTACCACTCACCAGAAGGGAGTAGAGTTGGATGGACAGTTTTTTTTTATTTTTGATTTGGCAGAACCATAGCGTGATGTCTTTTTTTATTTAGAGTAGCAATTTTTTTTGTTCAATTTGATTAATGTTTTAATTTCTTACAAATAAAATAAGGTACTAAGTCCTAATGGGCTTCTTTATTACTAAGTCTTGACGGGCTTCTTCGTTTTGGACTTTGAAACCTTGTATGCCTTAATTAAGTTTGTGGTTTTTCTTTTTTAAAAAGAAAAATTTGTAAAAATGTTAAGGCCTCATTTGTTTTTTTTTAAGATTAAGACGTCTGAATCTGAACACATATCTGAATATCAAAATGTGTATTAAGGTTAAGATATCTGAATCTGAATACACATCTGAATATCAAGATGTGTGTTAAAATCTGAATACCAAATGATTAAGATTGTTTGTTTTTTAACATCTAAATATATAAAATTTATCTTTATTTAAAAATTGATAAACGGAAAATTGAAATAAAATACTAATTAATCTAATATTCTCTCTTTCTCTCTCTCTCTCTCCCTCTCTCTCTATATATATATATAAAGGCAGTGGTTGTTGGGTTGTGTGTATATATATGTATATATTAATATGGTAATCAGCGGTGGTGATGGCTAATGGAAGTGCATGTGAGTGCCGATTAGAGGCAGTGGTTGCTGGTGTTTTCGTTGATGGTGGTAGTTTTGGGTAGTGGCTAGTGGTGATTTATAGCGATAGCGATTATGATTGAGGATGGTGGTGTGTGGTGATAGTTAATAAATGGTGAGGGTGGTAGTGGTTGTGGTAGTGATTGAGGAAGGTGATGATGGGTGGTGGTAGTTTATAATGGTGCATGATGCCGGCTATGGTTATTGATGGTGAGGAGGTGGTTAGTTGTGGTAGTCAAGGTTAACGAGCGTGTGGTTATGGTTGAGGATGATGGTGGTAGGGTGGTGGGTGGTGGTAGTGTCGACGGCTATGG